GGGCAAGTAACATACCGATGACAAAGGGAACAACGTATGTTGTTATGCGGTCTGACCGATAAAGATCTTCGTAGAATATGTAGGAGCCAATATGAGCATCCAGGTTCCGCTATTGGTTATTGACCGGAGACGTGTCTCGGTCATGTCTACATTGTTCTCGAACCCGTAGGGTCCGCACGCTTAAGGTTTCGATGACAGTTATATTATGAGTTTATGAGTTTTGATGTACCGAAGCTAGTTCGGAGTCCCGGATGTGATCACGGACATGACGAGGAGTCTCGAAATGGTCGAGACATTAAGATTTATATATTGGACGGCTATATTCGGACACCGGAAGTGTTTCGGGTGATTTCGGAGAAAACCGGAGAGCCGGAGAGTTACCGGAACCCTACCGGGAGTAGTAATGGGCCATATGGGCCTTAGTGGAGAGAGAGAAGGGCGGCAGGGTGGGCCGCGCGCCTCCTCCCCCCCTTGGTCCGAATTGGACTAGGAGAGGTGGGGCGGCGCCCCCCTTTCCTTCTCCCTCCCCACTTCTTTCCCCCTCCTAGTAGGAGTCCTACTCCTACTAGGAGGAGGACTCCTCCTGGCGCGCCTATAGGGGCCGGCCGGCCTTCTCCCCTTGCTCCTTTATATACGGGGGCAGGGGGCACCCCAGACACACAAGTTGATCCACGTGATCATATTCTTAGCCGTGTGCGGTGCCCCCTTCCACCATAGTCCTCGATAATATTGTAGCGGTGCTTAGGCGAAGCCCTGCGACGGTAGTGCATCAAGATCGTCACCATGCCGTCGTGCTGACGGAACTCTTCCCCGACACTTTGCTGGATCGGAGTCCGGGGATCATCATCGAGCTGAACGTGTGCTAGAACTCGGAGGTGCCGTAGTTTCGGTGCTTGATCGGTCGGGCCGTGGAGACGTACGACTACATCAACCAAACGCTTCCGTTGTCGATCTACAAGGGTACGTAGATCACACTCTCCCCCTCTCGTTGCTATGCATCACCATGATCTTGCGTGTGCGTAGGAATTTTTTTGAAATTACTACGAAACCCAACACTGCCGCCACGCCCGGATCCTCCTCTGTTTCCGCGCCCACCAGCCCGCCTCGTCCTGCCGCCTGCCCCACCGAATCCCCCTCGACTTCCGCCCTACCCACTACGCCACTGCCACGTTTACCACCACGCGCCGAACCAGTTGCACCCACTAAAAACTCCCATAAATGGCCACACGCTCCAAGTCCGGTTTTTGCATGACTAGGCGTCTCTTTCTAGCTGATTCCACCTCCACCGCAATCTCTCCCATTCCTCCCACATATAAGTCTGCCCTCAAGGATCCCAATTGGTACCAAGCTATGTTAGATGAAGTTAACGCTTTAATGAATAACTCTACTTGGTCTTTGGTGCCTAAGCCTGCAGGTGTCAATGTGGTTACGGGGAAATGGATTTATCGCCACAAGTTCAACATGGACGGCTCCTTGGCACGTTACAAAGCTCGTTGGGTGGTTCGTGGGTTCACTCAACGTGAAGGTGCGGACTATGACGAAAATTTTAGTCCGGTGGTCAAACCGGTTGCGATTCGTGTTGTCCTCAGTCTCGCCACCACACAGTCATGGCCCATTCACCAACTGAATGTCAAGAATGCCTTCTTACATGGCGATCTTCATGAGACGGTGTATTTCTCTCAACCGGAAGGGTTCGTGGACCCCTCCTTTCTGGACCATGTTTGTCTTCTTCACAAGTCCCTCTATGGCCTCAAGCAAGCACCACGCACATGGTTTCTTCGCTTCCAAAACTACTTGCTCTCTCTCGGTTTTTGTGCTTCCAAAAGTGACACCTCGCTCTTCATTCTTCATCGTGGTTCCACCATTGCCTATTTGTTATTGTATGTTGATGATATCATTCTCACCGCCAACTCTCAACGCGCCTTAGACTTTATCATTCGGTCTCTTAAGTCCGAATTTGCCATGTCTGACTTGGGTGTTCTTCATCATTTTCTTGGCATAAATGTCACCCCCAACGCCTCTGGCCTCTTTCTTAGCCAACAACAATACACTTTGGAAATTCTAGAGCGAGCAAAGATGTTAAACTGCAAGCCGCCGGTGTCTACGCCCATTGACACTAGCTCGAAGCTCTCCTCCAACGACGGACGTGTTCTCTCAAATCCCACCCACTATCATAGCTTGGCTGGCGCACTCCAATACCTCACCCTCACCTGTCTGGATATTGCCTATGCTATTCAACAGGTGTGGTTGTTCATGCATGAGCCACGGGATTCCTATCTGCAGCTCATTAAGAGGATTCTTCGCTAACTCCACGGCACCTCCCACTATGGCCTACAATTCTACAAATCATCCACCACCGATCTCACATCTTACACTGATGCCGATTGGGCGGGATGCCTTGACACACGTCGTTCCACTTCTGGTTTTTGTGTGTTCCTTGGGTCCAATCTTGTCTCATGGTCCTCCAAGCGGCAACACACTGTCTCTCGTTCTAGTGCCGAGGCAGAATATCGGAGTGTCGCCAATTGTGTTGCCGAGGCTTGTTGGCTCCGTCAACTTCTCCACGAGCTCAAGCATCCCCCTCTCCGCGCAACCATAGTCTACTGTGATAACATCAGTGCCACCTACCTTTCCTGCAATCCCGTCCAGCATCAACGTACTAAGCATGTTGAGATCGATCTCCATTTTGTACGTGATCGTGTGGCATTTGGCGAGGTCCAGGTCTTGCATGTTCCCTCCTCATCGCAATTCGCCGATCTTTTCACCAAGGGACTGCCATCGCCGATCTTCCATGACTTCGGGACCAGCCTCAACGTCCTTGCCCACGGAGTTCCGGCTGAGGGGGGGTGTTAGACTAGCATGTATATATACTGTAACGTTCACGTTTGGTGTAACTCTCCTGTAAATCAGGATCACCGCATGCCAGGGCCTGCGTGCCTATTTTGTAGGGCTCCTTCCATGTATATATGATGTACTCTGTAACGATCAATACAAGGCAAGAGATATTTCTCCCTAACTCTTTCAGGCCTGTTTTTGGATCTGAATGATCTTGCGAGCCACATCAGCAGCTCCGGCTGCCCTGCTCTGGACTCTGGAGGAAGTTGAGCTCCAACAATGCTGCTTCTTTCTCTCCGGCAATACCAAGATGGCTTCCTCCTCACTCAAGACATTGGTCATCAATGGCAACTACACGGACATGGCGGCGGATGAGGATGATGACAGTGATGAAGTTTTCAGGCCCCTGCTCTTGTTCTTCTCCGCCTCGCATCACATCGTCGATACAACTCAACCACATAGCATGCCGTCTCTTATGGATGCGTCGATTAAGCTGTGCTGCTTCGATGAAATGAATCACCATTTGGGCATTCTTGGCGCGCTGTCTAATGTGACAACCCTGCCTGTACTTGTCGCATTTGGATGTCACGGTATGCCTTGATACCCACTTTCATTCCTTAATTTGTCTGGAGGCATTCAAACATAACAAAATGACTATCTATCTATCTATCTATCTATCTATCTATCTATCTGGGTTTCAGTTGTTGCTCGATGAGAGTCATGCGTATCTTCCTCCATTTAAGTTTGAGAACCTGAGAACCTTGTTCCTGGATGAGTGCCGTATTAGCCATGACTTTCTTGGGCTGCGCCAATACCTCTGCAACTCACCTAACCTGCAGAAGCTCAGTTTGTGCCTTTGCTTGCAAGGTGCTACTGCTACTTAATACTTATTTCATCAACTATCACCATAACTATTCAATACATTGTGTGATGTTGATTCCTGTGTGTCTGTGTTGTTCAATAGGTCTCGGATTTCCAAACTACAGAGGAGGTGAAACAACGCCGCCAGTCATATTCTCAGGAATCAGGACCTGGTGCATTTCAAGTGCAACAACCTTAGGCTTACTGAGCTTATATTCTCAGGAATCAGGACCGTGAAGCCTCTGCGTTGTTCATGTTTTTTATTGGCATGGGGAAGAATCTGCCAAGCAACAAGATCGAATTATTTCAACTTTTGAACTAGAGTAGCACAGCAGTATGGCAATGCACTATGTATGTTGTCTATCGTTTGCTGATGCATGTATGTCCAGGTTGCATGTCCAAGCCCAAGCGTATGTATCGTTTGCTGATGCATGTATGCCCAGGTTGCATGTGCAAGTATATATTGCAAAAACTATGCACTTGGTAATGAATATCTATCGAGTTTGTGTCGAATGGGGGGGTTATATTAATTAACTAGTAGTATATGTAAGCGAGGATTGACATCAAAAACAAATTCATGAATCCTTGGGTTTGATTTTCTTGGATGGTTGGATCGTTTGGATTTCACCGATTCCTAACTTTTATACTACTAGTGTAGACTGTAGAGTATGTTCTTGGTTGAAATGGAAGTATCTTGTATAGCATCGTCCATATGATTTATTTATTTTCGTTTGGGATAACATTTTCTCATCTTTTGTATAGTATATATGTCACTGATTTTCTGTTAGTGAGATTGTTCTCTACCTTTCTTTCCTTGACTCAAACATCCACCGTCTCCAGCAGTCCAGCTACATTCAGAAATTTGAAGCAGCAATGGATTTAATGTCAAGCTTCATCTCTGGCCTGAATGTCCAGCTACATTCAGCTTCATCTACAATGTCATAAACCTACTGAAATTGGGAAATACCTCCAAGATAACACCTTCCAAGAGGAGATTGCTACTCGACCGTCAAATATCGACCGATCCAACCAGGAAGAGAAAACTTGTGGACAACAAACAAAGGCCAAGGAAGCAATAATTAGTGCAAAAAAATGGACAAGAAAAGCACATAACCAACTCATGATCCATTCCTTCAGCTCCCATACATACAGTATATATATGTTATGTTACACACACCTGTTCCTCCAATTTCCTCTCTCTCTGTTTCTCTTCTACTTTCCGTGCGTCAGATATGCCTACCTAGCAAGGAATCACACATGTATACACCCAAAAAAAAAACGTCTTCCAATAGCTCAGGGCAAACTCACTTTGGAGCTGCACTAGTGTGGATGCTGGGCCAGCAAGAGCGCCTGCCAAGCCTCACATGTCTCCTCACATCTAGACGAAGCAAAACATACAAGACGACCCGGTAGCCGATCGCCATCAGGAGCAAAACAAGGAGGTTCATCCACTTGGCGCCTGCCGATGATGAAATGCCATACGAGCCTCGGACAGCCTGCACGCCGGGTATTGTCCTTGTGGCCCCGACTGCAAATGATGTATCGACATACTCGTTCTCGACCAAGCCCTGCAGCAGCACTGGTCGTTAGCACGCCTGACCCGGTTGAAGCAAGATAGGGTTTATGTAGGTTACATGAGATGGTCATGTATAACTTACCTGGACGGCGTATGTATGGAACGAAATGTAGGACAGCGGATAGTTCCACACGGCCACTGGTATTGCGTCTCGGATCCGAAAATACCCAGCCACCAGCATCATGACAACCTGAAGTAGCCATGGTTATTTAATGTTGGTACATTCGATATTTGTGCCCACTTGAAAGAAGACCAAGATGGAAACTCACATATAAGCAAATCAGGGTTAAGGTGCACTTGTAAGTTTCAAGCCAGATGTAGGCAACAATCATCATAAGTGCCTCGTTAGCCAACAGGCACGTAAAGATGGTGATTATAAAGTACATAAGGAAGCTGAACTCATTCCTGAGGCCTATCAGGAAGTAGAAAACCAACGACGACGAAATAGACACCAGAAATAGGAAGGGGATGCTGGATAGGAAGTGGCCTAGTAGGAAAACCAATGTCCCAGAATGCCGATTTGAATCCTCATGGGAATATATCTGCATAGAAGGAATTAAATGTTAGTACCTAATATTGCTGTGATTTTGGTACTTATTGTTTATCACCAACGAAGTCTACGATGAATAGGAAGACATCATTCAGCAATAAATCATATTTTTTACAAATAAAATTTATTAGGAAGGAAATTAAAAAAAACTACCTTGATCTCATCAATATGCGCAGGTACACCACAAACACTTAAAAGGACGAGAAATGAAACAAACACAAATATCGCAGAAATCCTAACCTGTCAAAACAAAGTGAACATTGAACATCAAATCGTAAATACAGTTAAGAAATAAAATTATCAAGTAAATCGGAACATAATACTGTAGTGAGACTAACCACTACAGATGATAATGAATGACCAATGTCGATAAATATGGTGCCGATTGAGAGAGCAAGAAGCATATACAAGACAAGCCTGCTCCAGAAGTACTTCCAGTCTCTTGACATAATTAGCAATGATCTCCAAGTGAGAATTCCAATTCTCGCTGCATCACTGGCTCTGCCTTTACTTTTCAAGTAAGGACCTTCCTGCATCACACCATGTAGACAATAGTTTATTCACTATCATGGTTCATGGATATTGCAGTGTCCTATTTCTCAATCTAACATGGTTGATTGTAGAATTCCTACTCTATGATCGGTGACAAGAACATTAGTATCAATTCTGTGTTTGTGGAAGGGGTGACATAGATGGCATTTTCATTACTCTAGGGTGTAAAGCAGTAGTACCTTCTCAATCAATTTTGCAATCATCAATTCAACAGCGGCAGCTTCAGCCGATGATTTGTATGTTGCTTCTAGTGTCCGGATTGCCACAGCAGTGTCCATGCTCACTGATGAGAAATCCCCTTGATCATCCTGTTAATAACTACAAAGGTTTTTATCTCTCGCAGCAAAAGTACATTGTTGGACTGAAGATAAAATCAAAATTGATGTCAAAATAAAACCAAAAGATACCTGCAGATTCTTGCACATTGCTATGATTCTGTCAAAGTCGGTATTGATTGCCCTCAAGAAGTGGTCAGATGGACTTTGCATGATTGGACATGGAAACCCAGCATTTGAGAAGTGCTACAACAGAACAAGGCCAGGTAAAGAGTACAGAAAGCCATCTACAACAGGAATAAAGCTGCAGCAACAAGGATCATACAAGAAAAGAGAAACTGTTGTCACGAATATATAGTTTTGTTCCTAACAATGCAACTTGGACTCGATTAACAACTCATGCCATCTTCGAGTAGCTAAAGACGACCCTTGTATCTCGTCTAAAAAAATATGAAGTTAACCCTGTTCACGTAACTGGATACCGTCGTTTCACTCGTGGTAAATTTAAATTGGTATTGAGCAGAGTTAATAATTAATACTGCAGAGAAACACGCATTCACCTGCAGGCAAGCCAATGTTTCCCCAAAGAAGAGGGTATTCCCATTTGAAAGCAAGCAAATCCGATCGAAAAGTCCAAAAACCTCCGTGCTGCTTTGATACATTGTGAAGATGACTGTGCACCCTGTGCTTGCAAGTTTCTTCAGTGTTACCATCAAGAGGAGTGCAGAAACACTACATCACAAGAAACAAGAAGAGAAATTAGTTACATGGATCAATTTAATCTGCAGTTTATATGTAATGTGCAAAGACATAAGCCATAATCAAGGCTGCATTAATTGTGTTAACACCCATTATACATGAAACACAATAATCTCATGCTTAGCAGTGAGTTTTGTCTCTGATTGCAAGACAAAAGCACACACATACGCAACAGGTACTGTTTTTTAGTAAGAATTCGAAGAGTTAAATATAATTATGGAGAGGAGAAATAACCTGTCGAGGTGGTACAGAGGCTCATCGATGAACAAAACATGTGGCCTCATCACAAGCTCCCTTGCAATGCTGACCCGCCTCCTCTCGCCAGTTGGAAGCCTCTTTGTAAAGCAGTGTCCACCAATGAGTTTGTCAGCATGGTCACCCAACGACATGGCCGCGATAGCATCTTCCACAAATGACTTATTGGAAGAGAAGACGCTCGGGAGCTGCAAGAGCGCTGAGTAGTACAGCATCTCCCGTACTGTGAGAGATTCGATTAGCACATCGTCCCGGTCAACATACCCCTACAAGCGCTCCAAGGAACAGGACATAAACAATCCATGGTATGGCAGTGCTATCATCAATAGCAAAATCAACATTTTATTTTAGCAACGTAAATGTATGAACTGATGGAACGGTGGACAAATGAAGCGGCATACATGGAAGTAGTTGGTCATAGATAATTCAGTTAAATTTGATTTAACAGAAGACACACTCTTTCCATCAGACATGTGCATTTCTTTCTTCAGATGTGCATGGGGGCAACTCAAGTAGGTTCAGACTTGAAGCACCAGAATTCGGAGGCAGCAGAGTGGTAAGTAGACTAGTACGTAATGGTTTGTGTGAGGAAGAGATAGCTTACACATGATCCATATAGTGATAGATATTCAGTTGTTTGGCGTGACACAATCAAATCGATCACTTACACGCGACACTGAACTTGAAACATGACGCTTTGAGCATGCGGAGTAGTGATGAATGTGACAAGTGGAGGCTCTAAATGGCCATCAAAGCAATGAAACTTGACAAATATATATGAGGCATAAGTTGACACTAGTCTGAGGATGTTTGATTTAACAGAGCATACATTTTTCAACACGATTGTGCAACTTTCAGATGTGAACCGGCGACTAAGTTCAGACATGTAGCAGCAGAGTAGTAGTTTGTGTGAGGAAGAAAGGGGAGCTTACATATGATCCATATGGCAAGGGTGACTTGACGCCATTGACGAAGACGTCGCCGTACATCCGCTCGGCGCCGCGCAGCCTCCCTGAGAGCAGAGCAGTTAGTGGGAGAGTGGCATCAGTTAGTGAGCTCAAATTCAGTTACTAGCGGAGTGGAGTGGAGTGGAGTGGAGTGTGACATCAGTCAGTGACAGAAGCTCAAATTCAGTGAAAGCAGCAGAGTGGAGTGAGGGCGAGGCAAGAATCTGTAACCTGCTATGGCCCGGAGGAGGGTGGATTTGCCGGAGCGGGCGGGGCCCATGACGACGGTGAGCGTGCCGGGCAGCGCGTAGCCGCTGGAGCCCCTGACGACGCGGCCGGGGCGGCGGCCGTCCCGGACGGAGACGCTGAGCTCCTTCCAGACGAGCGCGGCGCCGGCCACCTTGCGCTCCCGGAATCCGGAGCCGGACGCGGACGCGGAGGGCCCCGGGAGGGAGGTGGACGGGGACGGGTAGGCGCTGCTGGCGGCGGAGGCGGAGGCGGAGGCGAGGTGGATGGAGGAGGAGGAGTCCGCTGCGTGGGCGGCGGCGTCGACGGTGATGTCGTCCCCCCAGTCGGGCGAGTCCTCGAAGGAGACGGGCCGGCCCGGCCTCGGGAAGTAGTAGCGCCGGCCCGCGCCGCCGGCCGGGGCGGAGGGGCTCCCCGCCGAGGAGGAGCTGGAGCGGTACTGGTCCGACGACGGCGCCTCCATGGCCAAGAAGACAGAGAGAGAGACTGGAGATGAGTGAGGGTGGGAAATCTGTCTGCTCTGCTTGGCTTTGATTTGCTTTGCTCTGTTGCTGTGGTCTGGAATCTAGGAGGACGCCATTGCCGCTTTGGCTTTCGGCTTTGGGGCTCCCTTTGTCGCTTTGTTCAAAGATAAAGAGAGGATTTTTCCTCTTTCCTCGGTGGTGCTGTGCTCGCTGTCTTTAATGGAGTGCTGCTGCTCTGCTCCTCTCCGCTGAAGAGAGAGGTGTTGAGCTAGTAGCTGCCTAGCTGAGCGCCTGAGCCGAGCTGCAGGACAGCAGAGCAGGAGTGGAGTGGGAGGGGAGAGAGGGAGAGTGAGCATGTGATGGCCCAGCTGGCGGAAATGGAGGAGACGGACGTCGCCTCGGCTCGGGAGTGGAGTGGAGTGGAGTGGCGTGGCGTAGAGCGGTAGGTAGAGAGAGTGGCGGTCACGAGGCCGCCCGAGGAAGACGACGAGGGAGGCGACGCGAGAAACAAGAAACACCACCAATACCTCTGGGTCTGGTACCCAACAAAACAATCAACAAATTTAATCCACCCCTGCTTAATTATCCTTAGTAGTACGTGCGAGGGAAAAGAATTCAGTTTACCCTCCAAACAAGTTCAAACGTGGGCGGCAAAAGGGATAAAGGACCACACCAAATAAAAGAAGCTTCATTCCAAGTTAACTTCTCCCCTTCTTTCCTTCCTTCACACTCAAAGTCTCCAAGAGCGAGAGATTTTCCCCTCCAAGATGGGACCATCTGATATTTTCCCCTCCTCATACCTAGCCTATATCTGGGCGGATATGGGACGCCTGGACGCGCCTGCCACGTTAGGACTCACCGCAAGGGCCCATGTGGACAGACGCAAAAAACATCGGTCCGACGAGCGCCTCCTTCGGTCTTAGGTGAGGATGCATTCATGGCGCCATGTGGCGCCGCTCCGGCGTGTCGCCCAAGAGAACAAGCCCGGCTGGTTAAGTCGGACGGCGGCATCCCAACCCTAGCCAGTCCTCCCCTCCGCACCACCACCTTCAATCCGGCTGCCGTCAACCGCTAACCATGGTCCCACCATAGGATTACCACCTAAGCCATGCTCAGTGAGGAGCAGCGGTTGCGGATGCTAGAGGGGATCCGGGTCAAGCGCAATGCTAAGATCGTTGCCGGCCTGCCTCCGAATTCGCCCGCAGCCAGTGCCGGAGCAGGAGGAGGAGGACACGACAATATAGGAGGATGAGCCGGTGGAGGTGAAGGAGGCAGATTTGGCGTCTGCGGGCTTCGACATGGCCGACACCATCACAGATTAGGCTAAAACTAGTCTAATGCCGGACGCGGCGGATCCTCCATTCCCACATCATGTCTTCCCCATGTTCGGCAGCCGACTCATCGTACTGTCGGGAGGCTCGGAGGGATATGCTTCAACGGGAGGGGAAGAGTAGCCTCCATCCGCCGCCATGAAGCATGCACCAGGGTTGGTTTTTTGGTGGGGGAAGACGGTCGCCGTGGCCTATGCCCCCGCTCACCGGGCAAGTCACCGGCTTTGTAACCTGGCGAGGCAATGGCGGTGGCCTTCCTCGGACCCCAAGCGGCGGTGGCCTTCCATGGTCTACTTTTCATCGCTGTCTGCGGTGGGCGCGGACATACCGGCTTCGCCATCCTACCATCAGGGCACGACCTGTAGGAGATATGCTCTAGAGGCAATAATAAATGATATTATTTATCTCCAAGTTCATAATTATGTTTATGTTCCATGCTATAAATGCTATGGTTCTCGAGTCTGCAATAACACGAGGCTCGGAGGACTCATATGCACGTGTGGAATAATAAACGGTAAGAAGTATTCTTATTCTGGCCTCTAAGACTAGCTCAAGTGTTGCATGATGGTTCTGTTTTCCTGATCATGGGCATGTCAATGCCAGCAACTTTGAGGGCACAATGTTAAGAGAACATTTGTGTTGAATCGACCCGGATTGATGTTATGCTATGAGATTCATTCGTCACAAGTTTATGGTTGATAACACAGAGATGGTTAATGTTTGCATAATTCCTTAGACCATGAGAGTATCGAGTTTCTTCATACTTGCTTCATGAACTTTGGGGTTTGTTAAACGTCATCCGTAAATGGGTGGCTATTACGGCGGCTTACGGGTTCATGGAAAAGTATGCCAAGTAACTTGATAGCTCAAGATTGGGATTTGCTCCTCCGATGATGGAGAGATATTCTCGGGGCCTCTCGGTGTTACGGTATCCATAATCGTCTGGCCAGACACCTTTTGATTTGATCACTGGGATGCCCGAACACGGAAACGAGAAAAGAGAACAAAACCGGTAACGAGGTAACTTGCATGGTGGACAAATTGTTCGTCCATGGGGATGCAATAAATCTCATCTCGGGTGTTTGTGACATATCACGAAGCAACAGGAATAGCTCACTGCAACTGGAGGTTCACTCGAATATTTATTTGTGTGGGTATAGGGGTCAATATGGGTGTCCACGGCTCCGATGTTGATCATTGATCGGAAGGGGTTCCGGGTCATGTCTATACTTCACGGAACCTATAGGGTCACACGCTTAAGGGTCATCTATCTGCTGAATAATAGACAGGGAGTCTGAGAGAAAATCATCGAAAAAGTTTCAGACACCGAAAAGTTTCGGACAGCGGAAAAGTTCCGCAGAGAGAGGTCACCGGATGAGTTTCGGTGAAACCGAAAAAGTTGTTTCGGGGTATGCCATTAAGTCAAAATGGTTTCGGCACATGCCTGATAATTCTTGGAGGGTGCCAGAATCATTCTGGAAACTTTTTGGAATTTTCAGAAATAAAAACCGGAAATGTTCCGGCGCTGCCGGAACCGATTCAGATGCTTTTCGCAGATGAAAATCACTAAACTGGAATTGTTCCAGAACGCATTGAAAATTATTATGGTGGGTACTGGAAATGCTCTAACCCCACATAAATATTTTTAGTTCGAACGGACGCTGAAAAATGTCGTCGTGAATAGTGAAAATGCTTTTTGGGATATTTTATGGAAAGCCACCTTTTGGGGCTTTGCCCAAAATATTTAGGGGCCAGTTCTTTTGGGCGATTCTCCCAGAATCGGCCCCGTCCCCAGCTTCTTCCTCGTCACTCCATATTTTTTTGACAATCCTGTCTAGTTAAGGTTTAATTAGCTAGGATTGTAAAAAATATATCAAGTGGTGATTCTGGAAGAAGCTGGGGAGGGGCGATTCTGGGAGAATCGCCGAAAAGAACTGGCCCTAGGGATGACATGGAAGGGTGGGAACCTCCTTTTGGGGGCCCACAAGGGGTGGGACGTTCATGGGTGCAGCTCATCCATGGGGCCCCACTTGTCCCTTGTTTTCACTCTTTAGGTCCTTGGGAAGGACTCCATTTCATGTGGGTTTTGGGTTTTTTTATAAAAGCACTCTACCCCTTGGGATTTCCTATAAATAGAGGTGGAGGGGCAGCCCTCTACTCTCATCCCTTGCTCTCATACACATGCCATGCATTATCTGGCTTCTTCTCTCCCTCCCACGAAAAGAGTTTCGTAGAGCCGTAAGGTTGTCTGGGTTCCGGCAGGAACTAGTTCTGGACGGCAAAGCCCTGCCGGATAGATGACACCGTATGTGTGCAACTCTGAAGAGAGATCGTAGTTTCGGTCTTAGTTCGTGAGTGCCTCCCGAAGGGCTGTCCGAGTGACCGTCCGAGTTTCGAAGGTCCTCCCGAAGGGCTGTCCGCGACACCGTCCGAGGGGTTGTTCGACCGCCTCCCGAAGGGCTGTCTGAGGAGCAGATGAGGGTATACATCCTCGTGGTTGGGAGGTTGTAAATCCTAGCTGCGGGGATCTGCACCGCCGTTCGTCATCAACTCTACTTCCGTTGCGCTACGAGTCGGTAACGAAAAAGATCAAACCATGTATGCACACTAGTAGAAAACAGGGCTTTCGTTCGGCCGGAAAAGAGCATTAATCTCGGTTGCGTTACGAACCGGGACTAATGCTCACATTAGTCCCGGTTCGAGCGGCGAGGACATCGTACAGGCATTACTCCCAGTTCAAATGGGACCTTTAGTCCCGGTTGGTGCCACAAACCAGTACTAAAGGGTGCGATGCCCATTAGTACCGGTTCGTGGCACGAACCGGTACTAAAGGTCCACGAACCGGTACTAAAGGTCTACGAACCTTTCAGTTTTGTAAAAAGCAAAAGAAAATAATAAAAACTTCAAAAGTTAAAATCCTTCGAGATGTAGTTATGTTACCACATCTACTAGTTAGGAAAATTTAAAAACATAAATTTGGACATGTTTTGCAAAAAGTGTAGGGAAAATGTAAAACGGCTGTAACTTTTGCATACGATGTCGGAAAAAAACGTATAATATATCAAAATGTTCAGAACGAAAATCCGCATCCGATTTTGACCTCCTACGGCTTGTTTGCAAATTTTTAGAATCCTAAACTTCCAAAAGGAAAAAAAGATATGCTCAAATTTCAGTTTTTTTGAATTTTGGTTAAATCTGGTCAAACTATGGTCAAACTACTTATTCAAAAAGTATTAGTGTTACTAAATAATTATTCAAGAATATTAGTGTTATTAAATAATTATTTTAATTTTTTTGAATTTTGGTCAAATCTGGTCAAAGTATGGTCAAACTATTTATTCAAGAAATATTAGTGTTACTAAATAATTATTGTTTTTTAGAATAATAGTTTCAAACTCAAACAGTGAAACGTGTGACTTCATGCTCAAGCTAAACTCCTGAGGGTTAATACGATTGACATCTTACTATTGTCAGGAAAACAACAAGTGCAGACTTCAAAACGAGGGGGAATAGAACCCGGAAATTAAGTGTGCTTAGGCTGGAGTAGTGAGAGGATGGGTGACCGTCCGAAAAGTTAGATGATTTGGAATGATGAGGGGTGATTAGAGATTAGAGGTTAAATTGAGCAGTGATGAGGATGATTAGAGATTATAGGTTAAAAAAATTCA